CTAGGAGATGATGTGTGAAGTTAAGGCCTAATATCCGCAAGCATGGGAATCAGAGCATAGACGCTTTGCAAATGAGGCTACTGAATCTTGAGAAACTTGGAAACAAGTGAAATCGGTCAACTAGAAGGATAAGCAACTGACCTAAGGGCCCATGATGCAGATCCGGACAGGAGGCTAGAGTCGGATCACCCACCCGAAAGGGAGGGGAGCAAGGCAAACAGCAGGTGTGATGACGCCACGGTAAATTCGCCAAAAGGGCACATCTTGCGGAATATAAATGTCAGAAATTGTGATGGGACAAGGGCGAGACAAGAGGGTAGGAAATTGATATAAGGACCAGGATGGAACGAAGAGTGATAGCACAACCGTTTCGACAGAAAGTTGGTTAAGGGATTTACTTCATTTGTTTCTTTTACGAGTTGTAGCTTGTTGCTGAGAATGACAAGATTCAGTGATGATGCTGGCGAAATTTCTGGGAATGCACCAAGTCCACGGTCCGACTGAAAATTATCATACATACTATGGACAAGGTGCATTCCTCTTGGTCTTCCTGTCAATATGATAAAGTTGCAAAAACGACTACCATGTTCTTTTGCTTATACTACTAAAACAATTAAAAATTTTCATCAACAATATTTCTTGATATTATATATATATATATATATATTTTATTCTCTTATCCGAATTTATATAGTTCATATTTTTCCTTTCCACATAATCCAGCTGCCATCGCTAAGATTCCTCCATTCTTAGTAAAAAGGTTGCTTCATCTTTGTCAGCTATCTGCGAGCGCTCAACGTGCCTATTCGAATTGGCGTCAGGCCGACGAACTGGCTAATACTCATTGGAACAATCATCTTTTGCAACGGTCTCAGCCTTCTTCCAACTATGATCCTTCCCTTCATCTTCCCGTCGATCTAGAGGCCAGTCTGTTACTTGGCCGCGGTGCCTGGCTTTTCGGGCCGGACACAAGAACTGGCCTTCTTTTAGCCTATATTGACGGAGTTGTCGCTGCTCATGATTTATTTGTGACTACACTTCAACGCCATCACTCCGGGGCATTATCGCCCTCTTTGACTTTTGCAGCCACCGATACTGAATTTTCAGACAATGCATCACTACCTTTGCTCTTCTCTCCAACTGCCCTACTTCACTGCGCTTTATCAGCCGGCCCCACTACTAATACTCACGCCCCGATCACTGACTCCTCCGATCAATCCCATATAACCATCACTCAACTACCAGAAGTTGTTCCTGGTGCGTTGAAAGCTGCTTTAATTGGCGATAAGACACCTGATTTTGTTGAAGCCCAAACAACAAAGGTTGCTGTCCTATCACAACCTTCAACGAAAGAATCAGTTAGGAAAAGACATCGATCTGACGAGAAACGTAACAAGGAAATTGCGCACAAGGAGGTTGTCCAAGACGAGCGATCCACTTCTATCGATCCTGTGCAGCAAGGTCCCGATTCAGCTGTCGTAATTCTCACTTCTAACTGTTCACCAATTTGCAACACTCCTGATGATGCTCCTCTAAGTGCCACTCCTTCCGTCATCCCAACCAATCCAGTTTCAACATTGCCAAGCAGCAGTCAATACTCATCTGGCAAGATGCAAATTGTTAATAGCCGAAATTCCTCTGTTAACAGGCCAGACATCGGCACATCTGCTGGAAAGGCGTCCGCATCTGTTGAACTCACTGCCTTATATTCAAGCGAACTGGATTCCGGCCCCAACAAGAAAAGCCCGAAATTGGATTCTGAGGAGGAATCTTACAGAGTAGAGCAGAAGAAAAAAAAGAAGAAAAGCCGTGTTAAAGGGGAACACGCCAAATTGGGTAGCAACGATGCTGATTCTGACAGTCAGATGCTGACTAAAAAGCGGAAACGAATATCACTGGCAGATTCTATCTGCAGTCGCGGCCCCGAGGAGATAAGCAGTCAAACTAAACTTGAGCACTCAGATATCATTCAACCTTCATCTAATCAAAATCAGCTCTCCTCTGCCTCAGATTCACTT